AATATATATTAAAAATACAGGTATCTTCAAGCCTCCTAGCAAAAAACCCTTTATACAAAACTTCACAGCCTGAAGTGTTGTGTCTAAAGAAATCAACCCAGGGAAACAGTCAGGGAAATGCCATAATTTTTCACATACTACATTTTTTACAAATAATGCTGAAAATTAGTTTACAATTCCTCATTAACAAAGAAACTTTATTTTGGAAAAACTTCCAGATAGTTTATTTCCTTGTTTCTGAAAACAAATAAATTGCTGGGTTTAGCATAAACTTAGGCCTGTTGTTGTTTTGTATACATTGTACAATTTCTTGAATTGAGAAACTTTTTCCTCAAAACTCCTATTCTAAAAGGTATCTACTTTTCTACAACACAGAGAAACACGTTTTTACTGGTAACTTTTTATGCTAATAAAGAGCAATGGTGTTCACTACGCAAAATCCAAATTCCATAGATCAATTCTTAGAAAACCAATACAAGCTGTCTTTCCACGTTTAGAGAGACATGAAACTGTGAAGTTTTCAGAACTGTTTATAATAAATGTTTATCTTCAGAAGTAGTGAATGCTTAATGCACAACCATAAATAAGTAATTTATTTGGGTATTTTTGTATGATTCACATATGTTGTCGTTTCCAAAAGTAATTCTTCATTTTCAGAGGCTGATTCATGTTACATGACTTAAATCAACAGCAATATTGACAAATGTATTAATTTGGAATGTCATGGTGAGTCTCTCCACTGAAGTGGAAATAAAATAATTAGATGTTCAGTATCACTATTAAATCTAAGCCTTCAAATATTAGAAAGTAGGTAGATTTAACATAATGACAATTTGTTAAGAGACTGTAGATTGCTAAGATTTTCAGGGACACACACCCCTAAGTGAATCAGGTTTCTTAACACTATATGGAGATTTCCTTTAATGTTTTCATAAATCTGTACAAATAGTGACCTTGTATGACCTTTAGAAATTACAGAAAACATAGCAGTTAATCAAACAGCTCAATAATTTGACATATTATTTCCTGTTATTTGCTGACTAAAGTCACTTACTATTATTAATTGTAAGAAACTAACCAGTAAAACTAGCATTTATATTACCTTGGTAATTTTCATGAGGTTTGTGGAGAGCATTTTAATTACAAATAGTATACATGATATAATATTCAGGTATATTGCCCAGTATTGGAGTACTTTGACCTGACATTCAAGAAAAGGTATGTGGTTGCTCAGTGAAAACTATTGTATTAAAAAAAAAAATTAACTACAAGACTCAAGAGGACTTTCTTTTCTTGAAAGCTGTGATGTTTTGTAAGAAAACTGTTGTAGCAGAAATCTGGACTTTATAACAGTTGGTAAAAGACAACAATACCCAAATTTGTACACTCATACAGTACCTATATATTGAAACCCACTGCATTGATTTTGTTTTAAAAATGTTACAATACCATATTCAGAGAATCATTATTACCAATCCATTGCCAAACAGGAAGACTTTCTTAAGAGGGGCTGTTCCAGGCTGTCCTGGTAGATAACATTTAAGTTTATTAAGAAAGTGACAGATGACAGAGTATACTTTCTAAATCTGAACATGACATTAGCCCAAGGAGAGCTAGAAGCCAGAGTTAGAAGTCCTGGTATACCAGACTAAAATTCATAATAAACATGCTAAACTGGAGACATGATCTAGGAGAAAATTAAGATGAAACTCAGGAAGGTAAATAGTTTAGCTAAGAATAATCAACTGAGAAAATACAGGATGAGGACAAATAATATGTAGCTATTGTTCAAAATGGTATTTTGGTGGTTAGTTACCCCGAGCTAAAAGTGAACAGCAAGAAAAATATTCTTGCATAAAAGATAATACACTACCTTGAAGTGTAAACTAATCTTTACAGTTTACTTGTTGGTAAGCCCACAGCTTTATTTTTTCATAGAGGTACTCCACCTAAGGCATATGGCAGAACTGAAAGGAATTCAGCAGAAAATTTTAACTACTAGAGGTCTAGACAAGGTGACATAAAAAGAAAAATTAAATAATGAGGAGACTTTCAGTTTAGAGGAGACTGAGTGGAGATGTAACAGAAGACAAGGAAAACCACACAGAATGGGCATGTAAAATGAACGCTCACTCTGCTTATTCTGCAGGAAAACTCCTTGTTTGTGGTCACCAGAAGGAATTCTTTCCCAAAAGCTATCCCCCACTTTCCACAGATCTACCACATGTAGTCGTCAGTGCCTGGCTATTGAATGTGTACCGAAGACAGAATTTTCTTTAATCACTGTTCTATTTTGTATCAGTCTCTTGCTTCTACAGAAATGCTACACTCAGTTAACTAGTTTCACCATGATTTTACCTAGTTCAACTACACCAGACAGGTTTAACAATGACATAACAAATTTTCTACCACAGTTCAAGAAGCCTTCAAGAGACGGCTTTAAAGTATAGCAGTATAAGGTTTTCAAACAGAACTACAAGAAAAATCCTGTACATGCAACCACAGCTTTCAGGTAAAAGCAGATACCTCATCTGTTTCTCCAGGTATACCTTTACTCCAAATCCTCAAGGTACACATTATCCTCAAAAGCTGGTACCTTAGCTTTTATGGCAAAAGTTCATGTACAAAAACCCCTCAATTCCTAAATGCCTTCTCTTCTCTTCTTTTCCTTTTACCAAACTTCCCACACTTCCATACCTTGATGGCATGTTATATGCCTCCTTTGCTTCACCTGGCCGTTTTCATTGCTTAAGATTTCACACGCTGTAAAAGAACATTTGTTCAACACACAGTTGTTTAAGGTCCCAACTTCTAGCACAAGATCAGCTTTTGATAGCAGTAGCTACGTACAATTTGGACATGTTATCAGAATAGAAAGCTTATCGGCAAACAAAACATTTTGCTTCAGTATGTTATAAAAAGACAAAATTCTATACTCCACCTCTACGTCACTTAGGCACTGCTGGATCAACAGTACTTTTGTGAGTTTAACTGAGATGCTGATATGAACAAAATAAAAAGTACCCGTTTACAAAACTGAACAATAAATCCACAAGCATCCAACTATTAAACCTGTATTCAAAATCTTAAATTAGACCCTACATCACCACATTAATTCCTTCTTACCTCTTTTTTATATCCTAGCAGTCATTTTATAAGCAATATATAGAATAATACTAATATATACAACCACGTTGGAAAGTTAGTCAATGACAGTTTAGAATGACACCTTCTTTTAATGCACTACACATGCTCGCTCCTATGCAAACAAAGTTTCAACTGTCATTCTCTCAAGAAAAATGATAATTCCCTAATCATATCTATCTTTTTAAGGAAGTAAGAACTACAGAACATTTTACAACAGAACACTGTTTTATATGTTTAATAAAATCTGCCACTTACATGAAAGCCCAGAGATGTTAAGACTTGAAGCTGACAAGGAAAAAAAACCCTCAACAAGAGAACAAACCACACAAAAGTGGGAAGCATTTCAAGTTTTATACATGCCTATAGTTCTCTTTCCTCAGTCCTCTCTCAGCTTCATGCAATGTAAAAGTCCATTAATAAAAAACTGAGCATACATAAAGCAGCCTCAAAGCTGCCTTGGGTCATTCACTGTGATAAACCTTCTTAGGGAATATAACTGTGTTTATTAAGAAAAATCCCAATCTGAAAATCACCTTAAGCATAGTGCTTTATCAATCTCCAACAAACAGTCATAGGCATTACCTGCACTACCATATGTATGTTGCTCAATCTAGTCTGCTTTTGAATGCTCCCCTAAATTTGGTTCCAATTTCCTTATATTACTAAAAACCAAAACAAAACACAAACAAAAAGCTACACACGCTTTTCTGATCTAACCAAATTAAGCCCGTTGCATTTAAGTTTCTCCTTTTCCAGCAAACATTGTGAGACTACTTTAGTACTTGAAAATGTGGAATGAAAACAGAACTGCAGCTGATAATTCTTACAGTAGGTTATCTCCGATTTCACCAAGGGAGTTAGTGCAGACATTCTCAATGAGGGGGACCTTGTCTTCTTTGAAATAACACGTCTTTTCACTCTCTGGGCAGTTTGCAATCTCCACTTCTTTGCTTGGGCTGATAAGGAAGGAGGCGTTTGAAGGTATAATTTTTTTTTTTTCTTTAGGACAGTTCAATGTTGGTTTTTTTCACTTTGTAGCAAAGGTACCTAGAACTTCTGTGGGGCACTGTTCACTTTTTATTGCTTAGATGATGTTAGAAAAACTATGCAAAAAAAATGAATCCGTCTTTTGTATAAACTACGAGCAAAGAGGCAAGAAAATAATTGTGAAACATTTGAAGTGGGATTTAATAACCTATTTTATTAAAAGTTTATACTTAATCCACAAATGTTCAGTTAAAAAGCCCCAGCAAAACGTGATTCAAAAAGATCAGCAGTGCACTTACAATTATGTCATAAAACACAACAAACATCCTAGAGTCTCAGGTGCACTGCTATGCTTTTCTTCCTGGTAAGACTGTTGTTTGTTTTCTTCTCCTGAACATATCTAAACTGACAAGGAGGTAAGAAAACTTCACTGACGACTGAACTGTGGCCATTAAAGATGCCGACATTATAGCTCTCCGGATACTTAATCCTACCTCTCCGTAACAAACGGCAACGAAGCCCGCAAGAGCGAAACAAGTTCAGCGCACTGCTGGCAGCACCACTCCCGCCAGGCGAAGGGAGCCCCAGCACCCCCCGTCCGCCCCAGCACCCCCGGGCACCTCCCGGCGGGAAAATCATCGCCTCAGGGACCCGACTGAGTTTCTAGAGCACGAAGCGCGCCTTGCCGCGTAAACCCTACCCCGAGGGCTGCCCGCCTCCTCGCCCTCCTCCGCTGCCCCTCGCCCCCGGGCAGCGGCGGCAGGGCAACTTTTCAGGAAATGCTTCTCCTCTCCCGGCACTTGGGCAGGGCTGGGCCAGGGGCCAAGCGTGCTCGGCTACGGGGGGAGGGCGTGCGGGGCGGTTACCTGAGGTCCCCTCTCGGCTGCAGGGCAGAGTCCCCACGGTCCCCTTCATGCCCGAGGGGCTGGCGAAGCCGCCCTGAGGCACAAGCCTTCATCCAGCTTCCTCCCCGCAGGCGGCGCCTCCCTCCGCCGTGCTGGCGGGGCGGCAGCCCC